AATTCACAGTTTACCTACCATTCCAACTTTTTATCAATAAAAAATAAATGTTTACTCAATGACATATATAAATTCCTAATTGATATTAAATTCTTTCATTTTATTATTAAATGGTTAAATGGAAATGTAATTGCTTGTCTAGAGACTCATTTATTTAATTTTACAAAAGGAAAATGAAAAGAAAAAAAAATTTATAGACTGCAATACAATTTTTCAAGTAACATTCTGGCCGTGGCCTCTTCTGCTGACAGATCTTACAGTTAAAAAAAATTTGTGTAGACCAGAACAAGTAATAATCTGAGTATGCTCGATCTGGAGAATATGGTTGGCATGATAGCACATCCCATCTAAGTTATAACAGTTTCTGACCAGTTACCAAACTTGTATGAAATTTGACATGATTGTGGTAAAACATTACACCTATTTTGTTGATCAATTCTTGCCGCCTTTTTTGTTTGATGATATTAGTCAATTTGTTTACTCAATGGCAGTACACTTTCGAATCAATTGTTAAATTGTCTGGTAAAAGCTCCAAAACAAAATTTCCTTAAAATCCCACCAAAGAGAGCATCTCTCTTTAAGAACATGTGGAACCCATATATCAAGCTTTGAAACAAAACCAATTTGTTTCAAGTAATCATANTTAAAATCCCACCAAAGAGAGCATCTCTCTTTAAGAACATGTGGAACCCATATATCAAGCTTTGAAACAAAACCAATTTGTTTCAAGTAATCATAAAGGTACTGATTGAAGAAAACTGCCGAATAACAACACGTGAAATCACTAAGAGATTAAATTTGTCATATTGAACTGTTTATTTTGTTTTCGTTGGCTTCAATTGGCCATCCAGAACGTGGTGCATCTTCAATATTGAAATTGCCAGAACGAAATTTTGTAAACCAGTTTTGGCACTGTCGTTCTGTTAATGCATCATCTCCATACACATCACATAATTTTTTTCTCACTTGAACAGCATTCTTACCTTTTCGGTCATAAAAGAGCAAAATATGCCGAAAATGCTGCTTTTGATCTTCCATATTTGATGGAACACAAAAAATAAACAATTGCACAAAATCAAACAAAATTTTTTACAAATAAGCCTTAAAATGCTAGCTGTCAAAATATATAATGATAATACGGTTTAGAATGAAAATAGCGGGAAAAATACGACTAATCCGTCTAGTGGTAAAAAAAATGAACTTACTTTCAGAACAACCTAATATTTTTATCTTCACATTTACCTACTTCCATTAATATTTACTATTTTTAAATTTAATTAAAACTTTATCTATTTGTTTGTGATGGAAATCCTTATTAATTAAAAGAAATTGAAACCAACTAGAATTAATCTATTTAATTAGTCACATCATAGAAAGCACATACTAAGGTATGTGCTTTCTATGAGAAATAAAATATTTTGTAAGAAAAGATCTTTTAATTATTATGAATATGAAATGCTAAAAAAATCGATTTTATTTCCTTAACAACAGGATCATTTGAACATCCTAAACCAAGCTGAGAAAATGTTTTATAAGTTAAAACATAATTATAAAATATTCAAGAAACATTGTTGTAAGCAGAAGATAAAATATTTAAATAGAAATAAATTATTTAAATTGATATCTCATAACAGTCATTAATAAATTTGTTGCTTTTTGTTTACTATTAATGCAAATAAAAATAAATAAATAAATATATATATATACAGTAAAACCTGTCTATGGCGACCACCCACGGTTCCTTCAAAAAGTGGTCTTTTAGACAGGTGGTCGTCCAATACAGGTGGTGCTGTAATACCTTATTTCCGTACGTATTTTGCGCACTTTTTATCCATTTCTACTAAGCAAAACTCGAGGTGAGCAAAAATAAGCGAATTTTTTCAACGGTATGGCTATATTGGTATTGTATTTTATTCTTATCGGATAACCCGATTTACAGGAGTCGTCATGATATTATAAGACAGATTTAACATCAATAAAGATTAATACAATATTCGCATTTTCTCGATTATAATGCACATTTTCTTTTTTCCGACTTAATTAATTCGACTCGGTTCTTTTCGTTCGCTTCTCAGTTACGTGTATTACGCCATCAATATACAAGCGCATTATATCTCTACATCACTTTGCTTTTGGTATTCGCTAGTTTAATCTTATTTTAACTTTAAAAATACTGTATTTTTTAATATTTAATATTTTCTTAATTAATTAAGTACAATAAGAAAATTATTAATTAATAATAAAACGATTTTATTATTTTTTCTCATTATACGATTTCATTACAATCGCGGAATCGAAAAAGGAAGTAAAACTGATTTTTGCATTAATGCGTTTATTGTTTTTTGAATATTTTGCCTGCGAAAATTACTTGGATATTATTTTTCTAAAAATATCGTGGAAATAAGGTAGGTTGATACAGAAACTATTTATCGCACGTGTACTGTATATGAGCTTCAAAATAAATAAATAAAAATAGATTTTATCAAACGATGAGATCAGCCGATTAATTGTATCGTGTACAATATTTTACACCCCCAAGGAAAATACTGTAGGTCTAGGGTAAAATAAATTTTGTTTTCCCACAGTTAAACTTCGCCGCTAATTGCTGTTGTGATAACTTTAATACGATCTTCTAACGACAGCACTTTGCATTTCGGACATTTTCCAACAAACTGAAATGAATTTCCTTTGTTGCTAGACAAATTTATTAACATCTGCACCTAATTTCAAGGGGGGGAGAAGTGCCCGGGATGGGTTCGAACGAGAGTTTAGACTAATTCATTATATTAGGAACTGGAAACGTTGTTGAGATGGGTTCTTACAATAGTTTAGACCAGATACATTCGCGAAAGTGGTCGCTTATTACAGGTGTTGTATGTTGTTTCGGACCAAAAATCGATGCCCGCGGTCGCGTTACACAGGTGGTCGTTTAATACAGGTAACTTATACGAAGACTCTAGGGATAAACTATTCCGTGCGGGAAATTTTTGCCCGTTTTGACAGGTGCCCGTCGAATGCAGGTGGTCGCCTAAGCAGTTTTCACTGTATATATATATATTTCTCCTGAAGTAAAATTACAATGTGAAAAAATATGACACATAATCATAAAATATATAATATTTGCTTCAAATTCACAGTTTACCTACCATTCCAACTTTTTATCAATAAAAAATAAATGTTTACTCAATGACATATATAAATTCCTAATTGATATTAAATTCTTTCATTTTATTATTAAATGGTTAAATGGAAATGTAATTGCTTGTCTAGAGACTCATTTATTTAATTTTACAAAAGGAAAATGAAAAGAAAAAAAAATTTATAGACTGCAATACAATTTTTCAAGTAACATTCTGGCCGTGGCCTCTTCTGCTGACAGATCATGTTTTAGTGGAATTTGATAGACCCCAGATTTTTCATTCATTTTTCATTCAATTTAAAAAATATTTTTAAATTGAATGAAAAATTAAATTTTTCAAGTAGATACACAATAATTCAACTAAAAAATTAAAAAAAACTTTAAATTTTTAATTTTATTTGTTAAATTAATGCAACTGTTGAGGAAGGTGTTTACATTTTTGTTCTGAAAACAATGATAAAAAATCATTCTAATTAAAAAAGATATTTAGGCATATTTATAAATTAAAAATTACAGTATTGTGATCATTATGCTAATGTGAATACGGGGGCGTAAGGCTCCCGCTCTATAGTCAGGATAAAAGGTCAAGCGAGTGTAAAGGGAGGTGATTGGGGTCGACGATAAGGTGAAGGGCGAGATCGAGTAAAGGAGTCTACCATCATTTTAACAAATATAAAAATAACAATTTATTAAAGAATAGGCAAATTGACAAAACTACACAAAGCTCTATACCGTCAGAGAGTTTCTATACGACAGAGAGAGTTTCACAGTGGTTTCATACCTCTGATAGCCGTCCACTTTGACGATTCTGAACGTGGATGCCTTTAAAATATCGATCCAAGGAATAATCCACAAATACGGCACAAATTATATCAAATCGCGACTTTCGCGCTCATTTAATTCGAGGTTCATCGGAGATCGGAATTTGGCTCGTGTGGAAGATTGGCGCGATGTTGTTAATCCTGCGTTCGGTAATAGACTCCCCTGAGAGGGGTAAGAACGGCCTTTTATCCGTTTTAGTGGGGAATTTCCACCACGTGATCGGATGTACATAGGGTAAAGGTTATAGATGTTCCAGGGATCTATAACAAATGACGACATTTAGATGCTAACTATCAACCTTTTTGCAAGATGAGATGCAAGTTCTGCAAAGAACAATGGATGTTGCTAGTTATGACCGGAAAGTTTACACAATCCCGGGCAAGATCGTTTCTCCCCTCTAGGGCGTTACATAAACACAAGTTTGATTGATTAACAATTTTGTTAATAAATGAGCGATATTTCCGTCACCAAAATTCCGGATCTCACACTAAGATATTTGTATCACATTGTAATTATTATGCTGTTTTAAAATGTTATAGTATTCAACTTCTGCTCTGGATTTTTATTAAGAGTTTTACATATATTTTATTGCTCCCACATATTTTACATTTATAAAATGCTGTTTTTGTTCTAATATTCTCTGTTTTCAAAAACACTTATCAAAACATTGAAATAATATGTTAGAAAGATGTTAAGAAAGGATAAGAAAAAAATAATTCTTTGGTATCACTTTTTTATTTTCTAATATACTATGTCTATGTTTTAATTGTATGATATCTTAAGATGATATAGATTAAAATAAACTGTTAAAGAGAAATTTAAGACAAAAAAATTTTTAATTTTAAATCAGACTTTTATAAAAATATTAAAAAATCTCAAATGCCATCTTTGATAATTAAACTTGTGAAATATTTTAAATCAATATCAATATATATATATATATATATATATATATATATAGAAAAATGTTTCTCAACATATAAAAATAATAAAAAACATACAATCACTTCAAGAACCATTTAAAATATAAATTACTTACCCAATACATTATTTTGTACAGTTCGAATTTCTATCCTTGGTATACCAGGGCCCAAACATTCCAATACATAATAATCAGTGGAAGGGCTAATTATTGCATTATTGTAAAGACATTTATCATTACCACAAGTCCAACATTTTGTGATTCTTGATGGCTGAAATCTTTGATCTAAAACAGAATATAAGTGCCTCTCTCCTGGTCTACCTTCTTTGGTTGATATATAATAACTATATATAAACAACAGAAAAGTTTCTTAAATACTAAATCAATAACATTAATGTTAACAATATTAATTTAACTACTTACACGCTTCTACTGATATCATGATAAGCTAATAATTTTGTAATATCATATTTGCCTTGAGTAAGAAAATCAATACGCCTGGTCTAAATTAAACAGATAGGAATTAACTTTAAATATAAATGCAAAATTTATTATTATTATTGGCTTGAAAAACTTACTACATTATGCACCACTGCAACATGTCGAAAATAACCAAAATTTCCTTCAGCAATGGGAAGTTTCAGGTACCATTTTCCTCCTGTTCTTGTCAGGATAGGTGCATCATATAAGTCAACCCAGCCCCTGCCACCTATTGCCTTCTGTTCTGAAACCTAATAAATACAATATAAATTAGTTTTTTATATATGTATCAATACAGTTGAACCCATTATACATTTTTCAAGAAAACTGAAAAAAATATTGTATATGTGAGAAAATATACAAATGAAACTACTTTTCAATTGCTTTCATAGTGAATACAGTTGTCACAAAAGTATAATTGAATTTGTATGTGTAATTCTTAAAAAGTTTTAATTTACTAAACATATAATGTATTTGAATAACATATAAAAGAAAACAAGTAAAATGGCAAAACCGTATTTGGGACAAGACTATGTCTCGGAGACTCACTACTAAGCAGAATCACTTTGATGCTAAAGGTGGGTCTCGTTCTGATTCTCCAATCTTCTTTGGTATCGCTGCTTTTGTGTGTGATTGTTCAAACTTCGCCAGCCACAACCACGAGGAGGTCCACCATGCATTTTTGATGAAATTAACCTATCCAATTTCGAAATTTCTCTCCGTTACGTGTCGGCCTGGATTGAATTTTTGTCGATGCATAATGAAAATTTCCCATTTTTGAAAAAAATAATCATGACTATTGAATTGTCTGAAATTATTTTTTATTTTGCATAAACAATATACAGTTTGACCCAATTATAACGTCATTGGATGTAACAACAACCCTAATATAACGTCAAATTTTATTAGTTCCATGATTTTACTATACTAGATAATGTTAAAAAACCTACTTGTAATGACATAAAACCCTGTTTTAATGTGATATTTGAAGCACTCCCAAATTTACAAAATTAGATTACAAATTTTATTTAACAAAGAAAATACTACGTGTTCAGTCCTAGGGTCAGAGTCCACTTCCTAGAACGACTGTGGATGGTACTCTCACCACCTGACTTCAGTTTGCTTGTTTGTAGAGAGAGTTGCCATTTTGTATTTTATTTTGACTCGGTTCTTGGTCCCCTGAGTACCTACAAGTCTGGTTTTAGTATGCAGGATGATTTGGGCACCTAATACTCTGTGCCAAATTGTAACTCGTGACATATACTCCTTCATACCTCTAAGCTGGTAACACAGCAGGCAGTATGATTTTATAAACAAGACATAGTCTTGTCAATAATAAACTTGTTCTAAAATTAAGTCATATATTTAAAATATTGGTCAAGTTCATTTTTGTTTGTTTGTTTTTATGTGGTATTGTAATACTGGTATGTGATAAGTCTATAAAATAAATGTAAATATCAATTGTCTCCAATCAAAACATTGGTTACATCAAAAATGAAGCCATTCTAAAGATTAGTTCACAATGACAGTAAAGAGTGAAAATGAATGGAAAACTGAAAAGCAAATTTTATTTGGTTAGCAAAACTGATTTACACTATAAAACATGGAGCTGATGGAGCAACTTATATAGCATCATTCACTATGTATTATTTGCTCTACTTTTAGCATTTGCATTTGCAGGCAATTCACTGTCAATGTGGACTAACCCAAATACTTTGCTTTTTTACTTTTTTTAATAATCACTTCAAATTTTCCATTGCATAAGTGAGGAAAAAGTGCTATTGGATGCCAAAAACTGTGTATAAATGCAAATCATATAAATGAAAAACATATAACTATACGCTGTAAGCTGGAATGAATTTAGCTGTGTAAGCTAAATTCATTTCAGCTTACAGACCGGTGTTTTTTTATGAGAAATGTATTAACAGGTTTGACTGTATAGTGGAACCTATAACTAATTAATCAATTATATTTATTTGAAAATTTTTTTTTAAATTTAAAATGGACTGTTCTCAGCTAATTTTAACATTAATGCTAAATGATACTGTAATGAATCAAACTATTTTTCAGCTACATTATTAATTAAATTTTCAAGCATGATACATTACAGTATTGTTGGCATTAATTAATAATGTCAGGATTCAGATATTTACATAATTTTAACATTAATTAACAAAATTCCCATCAAACAATAACTTTGTTTTAAAATATTCAATTTCAGCTGCAGGCGAAAGACGTCATTCATACAAGTGAGATAGACCTTTATATGTGCCTCAGACACAGGGACTTAGTGCGGGAATTGCAGAAGTTCACGCGGAGAATATTGTCGTGAAAGGGATACAAGTTATATCCTGGTATTGTAATCAAGTATACTAGGTTTAAGGCAAGAGCCTTTTGTATATATTTGTTATTTTATTTTATTTATTGTTATAATTGTACAAGATATACAAGATAAATTGAATAAAGAAAAGTCTCCCTTGTTATACGGATAGTGGGACAAGGGTGATGCTGATCCCCATTGGGGAAATGATGATTACCAAAATGAAAAAAAAAAAAAATACTTACAATTAACTATTGAAATTTGACATTTGTGAAAATTTTTATTTTAAATAAAATTTATTAAATATACCATAAAATAATGAATGTTTGGGGTTCGATTCCCCTATGAAATCGCTTGATGTTGTTGAAAATACGTCAGTCGGAATTTAAAATCCCTTTCTTTATTTACGAATATATACAGTAATGTACAATACAATGTATATACAGCTCAACATCAATCGAAATTTACAGTTGTTTGCACTGACCGCTTGTCCTAACATCCATTCCCAGTAGCTGTTGGTCAGAAAGTGGGTGACCAGTTCGAAGTTCACTTTTTCCCTTTCTTTGCGCCCTTTATCGTCCGAATTGGCCCACTGCCGACGTGCACCACAGTGCTCCCCCCAGTGACAACGATATAGCGATCAGAAGTACCAGGGGTTGAAGCAGACGTGATGTCCTGACCAGGTCATGGTGGTTAGTGCTTGCGTCGGTGTGACAGGATTGCTTGTGTTGTTGACCGGTGGAGTGGATGTATTGTTTGCAGTTGTATCGATGAATGCTGATTTCAGCCGATCTATGCTGATGACAGCTTCTCTGCCTTTTATTAGTATGGTGAAATGTTTATTGGATCGTGTAAGGACTTGATAAGGGCCATTGTAGGGAGCTTGTAGGGGTTTTTTCACAGAATCATTTCTAACGAATATGTGGGAGCATTCCATTATTGAGGGATGTAGAAAGGTGATAATTTTGTCGTGTGCAGACATTTGGACTGGCGAAAAATTGTTCATAATATTGCAGAGGCGCTGAAGGAAGATGGGTGGCTCAAGGCAGTTATTATTTGTCAGTTGTATGAAGTCAGCAGGTAAACATAGAGTGGCTCTATATACCAAGTGCCCCCGACGTCAGGTTTAAACGTGGAATGGAGTCTGAGCAGAACTGTAAGGAGGCTTTCTGTCCAACGGTTGTGGTCACTGCATCGTAGGGCTTGTTTGAGTGTGTGGTGAAATCGCTCTATCAGCCCATTTGATGATGGGTGATAGGGGGTTGTGCAGATTCGTCTGATTCCAAGGAGGGCAGTGGGTGACATGAAGAGTTGGGACTGAAACTGTTGCCCCTGGTCAGTTGTTATAATGGAAGGAACTCCGAATCGAGCTACCCAAGTTGATATTAATGTTTTCGCTACCGTTTCTGCCGTTATGTCCGGGATTGGTGTAGCCTCCGGCCAGCGTGTAAATCGGTCGACACATGTAAGGAGGTACACGAATCCTTCTGATGGGGGAAGTGATCCCACGATGTCCATGTGTATGTGGTCGAACCATTGCTTGGGTAGGTCGAACTGTTTCAGTGGGCTTCAAATGTGGCAGTTGATTTTATTCCGCTGACAAGTGATACATGTTCTGCACCATTGATGGTATCCTTGAGCATGGCTGGCCATACAAAGCGTTCCTGAATTAGTTTCCTGGTTGCACGAGTGCCTGGGTGGGAGAGATTGTGGACAGAATTGAAGACTTCACGGTGAAAGTTAATCGGAATATATGGTCGTATCCTATTATTTGATCTATCACACATGATTTGTAGTTTGGAATTGAGAGTGAGAGGTTGTAGCTGTAAGGAAGATTGTTGGGTAGATTGTAGTTTTTTAAGTTCTTCATCGTTGTTTTGTTCCTGTGCTATTGCAGTAAAGTCTAAGGAAGAAGGTAGCTGGATATTTGGTTATGTCGGTGGAAACGTTAGTGATGGCGAACTGGGCTTCAAGTTGGGCAAACCAGAGAGTGGGATTGTTCTTCCAAAATGGAGGTGGCTTGACTGCCACTCGAGAGATTTGCGGAACACCAGCTGACTCCATTATATCAGTTGACGAAATTTTCGAGAATAAAGATATAAAATTGTTACTGACCTTCTTAAATTACAGGAAATAATTAAGTTTCATTTTTCTGATCTTGTGATTGTATGATGGAGATGGATTATCCTTGTGAGGCACATGTCTTCTTTGTTCGGGTCACCAGTTTTGGGGTTCAATCCCCCTATGAAATTGCTCGATGTTGTTGAAAATACGTCAGTTGGAATTTAATATCTCTTTCTTTATTTACGAATACAGTGGTGCCTCGTATAACGTACGCCTCGAATAACGGACGCTGCGAATAACGGACTTTCTGTTTGGCTGTTACCTGACTCGAGCAACGGACTGGTTGCGGACAACGGACTTTCCGTTCGGCAGTTACGTGATGCAACCAATGGACTTTCTACGAACAAGTGCGAATGATGTTTCCACTCTTTTGCCGTTTCCAATGACAATATGTTATTTTTATAGTATATTAGTGTTATTAGAATATATTATCAGTATATCTGAAGTACAGAGCGTTGGATTAGGCTTGCTTCCTTGTTTATTAGGTACATCAACACAGTGCAGGGTATTTACATTTATTCAAGTGTTGTGCAAATCAATGTTTCTAAAACAACAGAAAAGTGATTTCAATTGAAACAATGCAAGAAATCATCAGAAGGAGTGAAAGTTGACAAAAACTTCCTTGTCGAATGGGGAGAGGTTCAGGAGTTTACCAACACTCATTATCCAAACAGAGCTGAGGCCAACAGGATCAATGATCTCTACAATGACACTCTTGCCCGTCATTTCCAACAGGTGTTGAAGAAGAGAGAGAAACAGATCACCTTGGACATGTTTTTCAAGAAGCCAGCTACCAAAAAACAAAGG